AGCTTTGCTGGTGCTCTGAAAACGTGGTAGGTGGCGGCGAGCATTAAATCAGTGTCAGGGCTCCCGGGGGAACTCACTGTGCAGACACTCCCAGTAATGACTGTCACCAGTCGTCCTCCAGCAGGGCATGTTAGGAAATACACTCAAGGAGACACAGAGGAATGCATGCACATGCCTCTGACATGTAGCCCCGGATCTGGGCCTCTGGAAACGATCCAAGGTGTCTAGTCCTGCTTGTATGGAATGTCACAACTCCAGAAAAAAAGAGAGAGAGAGAGGTCCTTGTTAGTGCCTGGGAAGAAATGCACTATAACAGAAAGAAGGGAGGCTGCAAGAAAAGGCCTTGCCTGGGCTAACCCATCACAGACTGGAGAAAGATGCATCTTATGCATGTCTTTTTATATAGGTGAGGTGATGATTTATGCATGTTTCACCACAGCGTCACTTAGTGAGGAATTTCCATCTCCCTGTGGAGTCATCCAGGGGAACTACCAACCCTGTGCTGGTTTGGGTTCTTGGCTGCAAAGTGGAACAGCTGGATGACCTGGGCCTACTTCCTTGCCTAATCTGATCCTCTCTCCATAGAATCTTCCAGAATATAGTGGTATAATCTCATATTAGTCTAACATTTTCTATTTTTCAAAGTGCTTCCCTATACAGCATTTTATTTGACCCATGCAATAAACAACACTTCTTTCATTAATTCATCTAGCAATTCTTTATTTATTTTTTCTAGAGGATTCATAAAGCAAATGTACTTCACAGGGCCTGGTTTTCCAAAGCCTTGCAGTTTCAAATATTGACTTTGCAAAGGACAAGACATTTTCCTCAGGTTCTGGTGTAAGATAAAGATTTGTAACACAGCAAGGTTGCTGGCTCAAAGACAGACTAGTTATTGATTGATATGTAAATATACTGAGAAATTGCTGTAAGAAAGGAATGTTTGCTGAGATCAAGCTTTTGTTAATGGATCACTTAATTGTCTTACAGGAATGTCCTCTGGCTTGTTTCACTGAAAGTTACCAGCAAATGTTAGCTATAACCCCACCTATGTTCTCTTCCTGTAACTTCCTGGTCTGGAGAATAAATGCAGGAAGAGAACCCCAATTCATGGTTAATTTCCCAAGGAAGGAATGCTTGAGGGTTCTGGGGGAGATTAACCACTTTGGAGCTTTTCATTGCTCAGAAGAGATGGGCTTTGAGTAATCCTTTGTGGCTCCGTCACCCAGGGGAAGTGGGGTGACAAATCCGTGGGGAGAAAAGCAACAATATTTTGGCAGCTGATTAGGAACGAACCCTTGACCTTGGTGATACAAGGCTGAGCTCTAACCAGCTGAGCTACCTGGCCAACCTGAGCAACTCTTTATTGAGCATCTACTTTGTAGCCAGCAGGGGGACAGGTGCTGAAGCAGGCAGGGAGCAGGATGCACCACATTCCCTATCCACAGCAAGCTCAGTCAAGTTGAGAGGCAAACAGCCACCAGATATAAACCCTGTAAATCAATGAGGCACTGCAGTCAGTTGTCCCTGTGAGGACAGCATGTGGTGACTTGTATTTCAGACAATGAATCAGAACTGGATGATGCTCCAAGCCACACCTCCAGTCACTAAGAGGTTCAGGGTTCATGTTAGAAGGCCCCTCTTGCTGGAAGATGCTGCTGCTAGAGAGGACAGTAGGTTCCTCCCATACACACAAGCATTTTGGAGAACACCAGGTGAGGAGAACACAATGACCCAAATCTCAGAAAAAGCAAAGCCTGTGAGATGCTTCCAGGTAGACCTAAGAGCTCACCCCTCTCTAGAATCCAAACAGAAACCAATGGGATCAGGCAGGAGGTCTCAGAGCAGGTCACAAAAGACTCAAAACTCTTCTCTCAAACTCTTGGAGGGAGGGAAACTTAGCCAGGTTGCAGACCCCTATGGCAGCTGGCAGGGGTCCTTGAAGAATGCTCTCAGATGCATGCACTTTTTGCTTCATTGTTTTGTTTTGGCTTTTTTTTTTTTTTCCCCCTGACACATGTTCTTTGTGCATGGTATTCCTCCTTTCCTTCCCTTTCTAGTAGTTAATTTTCTTACCTGCCCCCTGCCTTTGAAAGCCGGTTTCTCTTCTGTTTCTCTCTTCTCTGAATATCTCTCCTTCTCTCTCCCAAGTCTTTGAAGTCTCAGTACCTCCACTCCATCCTCTAGAACAGGCCACCTCCCTGCTGTGGGCAGGGACCTGGCACTGGAGAAGTCTACCACATGCACAGCTAACTGTGAGCACTTACTACATGCTAAGTACACCTCTAAGGGTTCCACACCTATGCATGCACTCAATCATCACAACAACCTAATCAGAAAGACACTGGTAATCGGCCTGTTTTCACAGATGAGGAAACCGAGGAAGCTGACAGATTCAGTAACTAGTCCAAGATTACACATGCATTGATCCAGGCTGATGTCTCCTATTGCAGCAATGGAAGCCGGAGGAACGAACTGACCCCTAGGCTAAGCCCTGCCGCCTTCCTCTAGGTACTCCTCAGATGAGTTGCGAAAGACATAGTCCCAGCAAGGGGATAAGAGCAGTAAACCCAGATTTTTTAAAAATGCCTCATAAATCTTGTGTAAGCATTTAGCGTCCAAGACCTGCACTCTGCCATTCAGCAAAATGTCTCCACCGCCCACTTCCCTATAGAAGGGAGAGAGCAAAGTAACCGCAAACCTAATAATCCTCAACCCACAAAGCCCCAGCCCCAGGGTTGTCTCCCATGGCCCAGCCCTTGCCCTGCTCTGGAGCCTGCTGCAGCCTCTGCATCAGGGAAGGGAAAGGGGGAAAGCGGCGGCAGGCCGGCGAGCCAGCGCGAGGCCGGGCCGCGATGTCCGGCTCTGCGGCTCCTGGCCTCAGTCCTCACCAGTCCCCCAGCCCCGCCACGCTTCTCCTTTCCCCCTCCCTGAATCCCACCTTGATTCCCGCGCCCTTAGAGGAAGTCCGTGGCTCTGCTCGGCCACCAGCAGGGGGATCGGCCCCTTCTCGCCACCGCGCCCCCGACCCGGGCTCCTCTGAGCACGGCCACATCCTCTCGGTGCGCGCCTGTCGCCTCTTCCCCGAGGCTGA